CTGCTGGACAGCTGCCCACAGGCTGGGCCAGGCGCCCCTCACTCTGTGGTCACAGCCTGTGGAGCCACTGCTGGCCAGGCTGGACGTGCCCTCTGACTGTGGGAGGTGGACACCATCACGCCCTCCCTCATGCAGGCGTGGAGGCCACACTGCTGAGTGTCCCAGCCCGGCCAGGGCCCTGCTCCACCCCTGCCCACCATCCTGAGGCCACTTCTGGTCTCTCAGCTGGAGCCGACTGTAGACCCTGGACTGCAGTGGGCACCAGGGGACGAGGCTCTGAGCTGGGGAGACGGGTCCTGCCTCCAGAGAGGTGTTTCCACCAACAGAAACCATCCCTGAGATGAAAAGAGCGGGCGTCCAGGTGACTCACTGCAGGAAACCGAGGCGGTCGGTGACCTTGGAAAGGGGCAGCTCGGGGTCTTCCTGAGGATCCACTGGAACCCCTGCCTGGCGTCCCTGCAACCCAGAGGGGGCAACGTGGTGAGGGCGCGCCAGAGCCAGGGACCAGGGGCAGGAGGGCACAGGGCGGCTCCTCCCTCCCCTGTCCTGAGGGAGCTCTGGAACCTGCGACAATGGGCACAGACTGAGGGATGAGGACGCACCTTCCCGAATGGGAGCAGCCTGACAGCCTCCCCTGCTCCTGCTGTGTGATTCCACCTGGGCCCCACCTGCTCCCGCTGTGTGATCCAACCTGGGCCCCACCGGCTCCTGGAGCTGTGATCCTTATCTAGGATATCAGTGCTCCTGCAGTGTGATCCCACCTGGGCCCCACCTGCTCCTGCCGGCCATGGTCTGCCCCCCAGGCCGTACCTGCTCCTAGAGCTAGGATCTCCTCCTGGGCCTCACCTGATCATACTGGGCAATTATTTTTGCTCTTTCCAGGGCCAGCAGGGTCTCTGGGTCTTCCTTCATGTCTAATATGCAAGACAAAAAAATCCAAATGTAGCACCGCACTCAGAGCTTCAGAGAGCAACCTGTGTGCCCCGCTGCCAGCCCCCCGGTCTGTCTGATCAGAGAGCGGGCAAACCCGCAGGCAGGGCGGGCGGCATCCGGCTTGGCGGAACACAGGTTCACACTCACACTTTCTCGCACTCCCGCTTAGGGGCTACCCTCCCAGCCCCCTGGGACTTCTGTCCTCGTGAGATCAGAGTTCTCGTCAGCTTATGAGGAGGGAGAAGGTGGACCCAGGGGCTCAGATGACCTGCTGAC